TCGTAATGACTCAATTGTGGGCAATCATATGAAATCTGCAAACGAAGACTCATCTTTGTACTATCGCCGAGCAATCGACGAGCTTGCTGACAGCGGCCAGGGCTGCCGCCGCCGCCTCTTGCACCGCCGTGGTTCTGCTCTTCAGGCCAAAGTCGACGATCGCACGCCAATGTGGCACAGAGCTCTGGGCAGCCTGCGTCTCCGCCACCGTGATACTGCTCGCGATCAAGTGGCAGGCGGCGGCAGTGACGAGTTCGTGACGTGAGGATTGCACAGTGGCGATGGGGACATCTGCCAGATACGAGAAGATCTACTGCTCGTGAATATACGAAATTTGGTATGACTTGAAGTTGAATCCACCTTGCGCCTTTCTGCTTCTTTATCTCCGTTCACGGGCGAGCTGTGGAAGGCGATGGCAAGTTTTGTCAAAGCGAGCAGTCCGCCGTGGACATCACTCGCGTCCGGGAGCTTCAGCAGTCGAGCCTACTTTCTAGTATGTCAATATTCGAGGCGTTCACCGTGTTTAGTGATTACTGACCGCACTGTGTGCTGTGGTCGATCCAAGTTGAGAAAGATGTGGTTGGCATATTGCACGCAAGGACTCTGCCCCAAGCTCTCTCATAGACGTGTCCCAGTGCCGCAAGGTTATTGTCAGAAGATGATTGATCAAGAACGAGCGATATTCGTTGTGTCTGTATTGACATGGTCAGGACGACGAAGCTATTATGATGGCATGATACGCACTCTGCGACTTCCGGTGCAGCGACCAGGAAAGCATTTCGTCTTACACCTACGGCGTAGAAATCAGTCTTTCGGAGCACGTCTATGCCATGCATAAACAGGCTCTAGGATGTAAATGTCAGCAGTCAAGACCTGGTTGGATACCTCAAAGATCGTCCTTACAGTTCGCCCAACATATTCCTGGAATGTTGCGCTAGCCGCTCGGCGAATGTGCACTTCCCGGTCAAACAGCGATACAGCGACTAGCCTTTGCGCGAGGTTCTTCGCGTGCGGAGCCAGCGCTGCGACTCCTTGGGCTCTGGCCAGTGACCACAAGACGTATGACGCAGCGTCACGCACACTCGAGCCGATTGAATGCGCGCCCTTGCGAATATCGAAGTAGAGTGCCTGTAATAAATTCCCTGTCAGCGGTCAACTCCATGTCTTGATGAGAACCTCCAAAACCTTGGAAAGCCAGTCTATAAGTTCTGCCAGTTTCTCGTCTGCCACGAGCCCTCGGCGCGCCATCTCAGCGCACGCAAGACATGTACCGTGCCAGGTGGCTTCGGCGAGGGCGGGCATGTCGTACAGGCTGGCAGCAGCCATGGAGTGGATGGAAAATAGACCGAGGACCGTGTCGAGTACTTGCTCTGCCAACTCAGTGGGCAGGCGCTCAGAAATGCGTGCAATGCCTTTCGCGGAGGACCATCGCACTACGGTGTCCTGTGGGTGGTTCACTGGTAAGATATATCTGCAAGACAGTGGATGCAAGCTAACTTTGTCTTGTAATGCTTTGAAGAGCTCTTCTAGAGTCGTCTCGACTTCTTCTGGGATGTTAGTATCATCATCCGCGTCGACAAGTGGATCGTCGCCAGAAGCAGCAATGTGCCCCGACAAGGCGCGGCCTAAATCAGCCAGCTCTCAGTACATCTGCAGCCTCGATGGGCAAAATGGTATACCTTTACTCCGCGCAGCGCTGACTCTCGCAGGAAGTAGCCGCAAGACGACGCGCGAGATCAGCTTTGTTTGTAATTTCCGAATGATTGTGTTATGTGTCGAGATCTGGTTCCCTTGGAGTGTGTGCACGACCTCGAGGAGAAGTGCAGAATGGGAGGTGATCTGTTCCACGGATCCGGACTTTGTGACTTCGCATGATATATGCAGTACACCGATCATCTCCATAAAATGATGTCAGTGACCAATTTCAAGACAGCAAGGGTATGCCAGGCGTACGGGGAAAGGATCGGATGACGTTCGCACTGTGGAGATGGACCACTGCAGGAACGGAAGGAACTTCGCACTCATGTCCTTTCTGTGCTCATCAGTACATCTTCAATTTACATGTTCATTGGACCGACCTCATGTAGAGCCTCGATAACAGGATAGCAGCGGCCTCGCGTTCAATGCCTGCCTTGCCTAGATAAGACTTTCCAACTGTTTCAATCTTCTCTGCAGTTTCTCCGACACTGTCACGCTCGTCGAATTGCTCTAGGTCAAAAGGAATCATGCAAATGAGCGAAAGCCACAGCAAGACGACATATCGCAAGGACCATTGCTTGAAATCTTGGATAGGTCCCTCGGGTGAGATGATGTAGTTCAACGCGATCGATAGGTCAGCGATCTCGTGAGGGAAGAACCTAGCTGAACTCCCGACATTGTGAATTCATGCACATCACGTACGATGCGGTCACTGACTGATTGTTTTGTGCCCACGAAACTTGACATAGTTATACAAGAGCAGTGCCACACGGTTCACTCTTTCGCCAGATAATGTGTTGTGAGGATTTGCGACATAAAATGCGGCATGTCTCTTCAAGACTTCCACAACAGGAGCTACCAAGTCTTCAAGAAAAGGGTCAAGGAGGTAGGCTTGTTCTTGGTACTCCGAGAGCTTGGTTGAATAGGTAACCATAAGCACTCGAGGAGAAATGAGACGTGATGCTCACGATCAAGGTCAGCCTCTGCAGAATGCGATCTTCCGCTCTGCCATCCTCTGCTGTAGGCTCCTGAGACAGCTCCCGCGACAACAGAGATGTCTGCAAATCGTAGAATTCTCGATATCTCTCGAAAGTTGCGAAGAGCTTTCCTTCCGTAAGCTGGTCCTCCGAGTCCATCCCGAATGCCGACATCGTGAGTCTTGTAAAATCGTACTAAGGGGGCACGTTCAGTATTGCTACTGAAGATGAACGTCGATGTCTGCAAGCATTGGGTGTGGACAGTTCATTGGCAGGCCAGCAGCGGGTCCGCACCAAGTGACTTGGCCTATCGCAGAGATGTCACGTCCAGCTGGAGAAATGCGTGACGTCACGCGTTTGGCGTCCATAACATTCCAGTCACTGGCAAACTGGGAAGGTCTCCTACACCCGACTCTGTGGCAGGCGGCGCTATATTAATTGTACGTCTGTAACTGACATTAATTGCCCTACGAGAGCCAGATATCATGACAATTCAGCGCCGAGCCTTGTGGCTGTGCTACCCCCGGAAATGGTTAGGGCGCATCTGTTCCCCGAATTCGCGTTGTGCTTTGCGCCTCGACAATTCTGAGATCCAACAGCCATGTCCAACATTAAGCTAGGAGATGCGCACGGCATTCCGATCCTCGACTTTGGCCCTTTCTTGGATGGTTCGCGTAAACAGGCAGTCGCAGATGTTGTCGTCCAATCGTTCAAGGAGGTTGGGTTCATCTACCTGATCAACCATGGTCTGCCCAAGGAAAGGATCGACGGGATGTTCGAGTGGGTAAGCCGTCTTGACCATTCGTTTGCTGTATTTTGATGACTCACACTGTCCCGCCAGTCCAGGACGTTCTTCTCTCAACCGATGGAGATCAAGCATCTAGCACCTCATCCCGCATCTGGCACCCACCATCGAGGTCCGCACAAATATCTGACTTCAATTTCCGTTACTGATTTGACTATTTCTCCGCTAGGGTATTCTGCACCGGGTCTCGAGAAAGTATCACAGCATGTATACGATGCGGATGCGCTCACTCAGATTCGTGCCGAAGCTCCAGACGTGAAAGAGAGTTTCGAGTGCGGGCGCGAACATGACGAAGTTATGCCCAATATCTGGCTGCCAGAGGGTGTGCTGCCGGGGTTTACAAAAGCATGCCTCGATTTCTACTGGGTGTGCAGAACCTGTCCCATGTTCGCTTCACATTGCTCCCGTTTTGATGCCGTTGTGCCGGATAGGCGTGTCGTAAAGTCGAACTTACAGTTTTGAAAGCCCTTGCCGTCGGACTTCACTTACCGGAGGATTTCCTCGCGCAGTCGCATGCAGTAGTTGATAACCAGCTGCGTTTGCTGCACTATCCTAGGTGACTTCCATGTTCTTGTCTCGACGAAGCGACTGATCCTAGCTCATATCACCTCCAAGCGTCCCCGCTGAACGGCTCGAGAAGGACGAGATAACCCGGATCGGCGCACATTCTGACTTTGGCAGCATCACTCTGTTGCTGCAAGACGACGTCGGTGGGCTGGAGGTGGAGGATCCACACACGCCGGGCGTATTCCATGTCAGTATCTCGATCCCTGCATGTCACTAACCAGACTCAATTCTCCCCACAGAATGCGCCGCCCGTAGATGGTGCCATCATCGTGAATGCAGGGGACTTCCTGATGCGATGTGAGTACTAATGTGATGTGCCACGGGTCAGATGGATTTAAGGCTCGTGTATCTTCGCATCAGGGACGAACGACATGATCAGGAGCACCGTGCATCGCGTGCGTGCTCCTCCAAACTGCATCGCGCAAGACGGGATGACTCCAGAACGGTACTCGATACCATACGTGAGGACGTACATTCTGCGATGTTTGTTCAGGCCTGACACGATTCGCTGCACAGTTCTGCTCGGTGGTAGGGGTTCAGTCTAGCGAGAATTAGCGTGTTCATCCCTGACAATTATCCGACAAGACTTTAACAAGGTAGTTGATTGTCTGCCCGGCACATACTCTGCCGATAGGCCGAAGAAATACGAGCCAATTTCGGTGAGTTTCGATATATTCCAATGGGATGTTGGGACTGACGGCGGTGAATATAAGGCTGTACAATATGTTCAGCAGAGACTAGCAGCGAGCTACGCATGACGGTGAATAATGCATGGGTCGTTGGACGGGGGTTTGTATTTTTCTGTACTAGGTGCCATTGTAGTAACATAAACTCGTATGACAAGAATGCAAGTACAAGGTGTGAAAAGTAACGTCAAGGATGCGTGGACCACGTCGACTGAAGTGGACGGCAGCGAAGGTGCAAAGCCATGACCTCTGTCCGACCAAGCAAAATACACTGAGCGGGAGTCGAACCCGCGCCGCTTGCTAAGCGGAAATGGAAGGCAAGCATGATACCGTTTCACCATCAGTGTATGGTGTTAGGGGCTCTGTGCTGATTCATAGAGCTACTTCACGGTCTAGTGAGGTGCAGAAAGGGTTCGAGCACGACTTGACGTTTTCCTCAAGAGTCCGACTATGTCTGGAATTACGAAAAAACACGGCGTGAAGAGGAAGAGAGGAGAAGCAATTGCGGTAAGAGATTTAGATCATCTATCAGTCCGACAAGAGTCACTGAGTTCCCTGTGGTCGCGGCATGGCAGGATGATCCAGTGGCGAAGGTCTCGGGAAAGCTGGTACGTCCATCCTCGCCGTGAGGCGGAAGCTACAAGTTCAATGATATAAGGCATGACAGTTTCACGGACTGAGAGAGGTGCGCAAGGCTGCAAGGAAGGCGAAAACATTCGAGACGCAGAAACTGGTGAAGAAGTTGAAGGCATCGAGGTACGAGCTTCCGCTCATGATACCGCGTTTGAACCGTTTCTTGATTCACATCTGCAGATCGAAAGATCCCAAGAGCGAGGAAGTGGTCGAGCTCGAAGCGCAACTTGACATCCTGAAGGTATGTCTACTTCGCAAGTCCTCGCCGTGCCGCCCCAGCATTTATGCAGTCTCTCTCGTAACTTGTTAAATAGAGAACAGACCATGAGCCAGTGGCGAACTCTGCCCTCTTGACGAAACTCAAGAAAGACCATCTTCTCTCCACCAACCCGCATGCCCAGGGCGCGATTGCGACCCACCTCACATCTAACCTACTCACACCCTCGCTGGTCGGGACTTCTGCCGCGAAGGTCGAGAGTCGCTTACTCAGTTCAAAGGTGCTCGGGGCGGAGGTGCACGCTGTCGTAGACGCACTCCGGGAGGTGATACAACCAACCTCGAAAAAACCTCCGCAGGACAGCGAGGATGCGCTAGACGAGAGCGAAGCTGGGCCTCCGTTGAAAACGAGGCGGCTCGGAGCTCGCGTTCCAGACCCAGATAGCTCTGAGAACAGCGGGGAAGCCAGCGGCATTCTCGGCGAGGAGCCAGACGAGGCGGGATGGGGATCTGGATCAGTGCGCGAAAATGGTCCGGACGATGAGGATGGATGGGAGTCGGGCTCAGTAGACGGCTCGGGACTTGATCAAGCATCCTCCGGCGCGAGCTCGTCCGACCAGTCTTCTGATTCGGAGGATGACGAAGGCGAGCCTGTCTCGCACGCACACGGTAGGGACGACATACCCACAGCCGCCTCCTCCCGCGCGAAAGCGACCAAGTCAAAGGCGCCTGCAACCGATCCGAAGGGCAAGTCGAGAGCAACTGCCGCGGAGACCATGTTCCTTCCGTCGCTGTCGGTCGGCTTCGTAAGAGGGGACTCCGATGGTTCAGACTGGAGCGATGCCGATGCCGACATCGCCGATGGCGCGCCGAAGAAGAACAGACGGGGTCAGAGGGCCCGGAGAGCGTGCGTCCGCCCCTTTTCATCCGTCCTGCTATCGCTATCAGCCTCCCACTGATTGACGCGCGAACGGTTTAGGATTTGGGAGAAGAAGTTCGGGAAAAACGCAAACCACGTCAAAAAGGAACGCGAGTTCGCCGCTCAGGACCCGCGTCATCGCGGGGGCAGAATGGGTCGCGAGAAGGACGGAGGTACCTCTCGGACCGCTCGTCCCCACATGCGCAAGGGTTCAGCTCCCGGCGCGCGTTCGCAGTTCACGGCTCCGTCGCGAGACAGTGGTTGGGTCAAGGGTGGACAGCCTGCGACGGAGAGACCGGGACACACAGGCGCGGAGAAAAAGGGTGGCGATAAGCCCCTCCATCCATCATGGGAGGCTAAGCGGCGGCTGAAGGAGAAGCTGAACCCCAGCATCGTGCCTGCGCAGGGCAAAAAGATCGTGTTCTGAGGATGTGATCAAGGCCCTGTTTGAGGAGGGCTGACGTTGGATGTTCTCTTCGCGTCCTATGACCGACGATACTCCTATCTATGCTGATCTATATTGCTGTGCAGTTGGTTTCAGGCCTTTGCATATACTACTCCAGACGATATTGGTGCCAACCTGATATTCCCTCTGACACGAACCAGTTGAATACGGCCGATGCAGTCAATATTAATTCCACATGTAGACAAACAACAGGCGCGGTCAAGCAAAGTGTGGGCAATAGCTAATGATACAATGTAAGAACTGTGTACTTCTACGACGAAGACGGAGCAACTATATATCGAACAAGATAGGGAGAGATAAGGCGCAGTCGGAGCGGGACAGAGACATTCACGTCGCCGTGCCCCGCGTACACACATGCTTCTTCCCACCCTGCAGTCTGCACGCTCGCGAGCACCACTTGTCCCCGCACCGCGGACAGCACGGGAAATTCGAGCCCGCCTTCTTGCACGTCGCACAGAAGGTCTTGACGCGGAACTTCGACTCGTCCTCGAGCGACTCGAGCACTGGATGGAGCGACTCAAAGAACGGACGTGGCGAGTGGTCGGCAGAATGTATGGGCGTGACCGGGCCTGCGGAAGACGGCGCGGTGGGGAAGTAGTCGGAGTCTCTCTCAGAAGAGGGGGTGCGGCATATAGACGGAACGGTAGGTGAATCCGGTGAGGACGACTGCACGGATGTGTCGCACGTCAGGTCTCCGCCTGCTCGTCCCGGGCTCCGAGCCGTACCGGATGTGTCGACGGCCAAGATAGACCGCAGGGAGTGGCGGGGGCTGCCGGTGGGCGTGAACGAGCCCTCCGCTGCGTCTGGGGTAGGGAGGGAGATGGCGCATGAGAGCGCGGACGGGACAAGTGGGCGATATGTGCTTTTTCGCGAACGTGGACGCTCTGTAGTGGACGACGCTCTCTCCCTCTGATAAGCCCGACGCGCAGCGGCTCCCATGAGAGAGGCCGTGGTCGAGCTTGGGAGTGTGTCGGACCTCGCACGAGCATGAGAAGAACGCACATGTTGGGCATCTCCCACGGAGTGCGCACTCCAGAGATACACAGTCCGCGCGGGCGTGCTTTCGTCGTGGGGTTCTGATGGGGGAGGGGCAGGATCATGCAAGATACGTCCTGTTGCCACTAGGCGAGGTGAGGCAGTGGGCTTGAATGAGCCCGCAATGCGATTTTTAGAGAAGGCATGTTCGTTGGATATGTCCTTCTGTTTATACGGTCAGTCGAAGGGCCAAAGGCAGTGCCCAACAACACATACCTCAAGAGGAGCGCCGAAATTCAGCTCTCTCGTCTCGCACACGACTGCAGACATTCACGGAGGGTGTGAGAGCCTGGGATATCTGGAACAGCGCATTTTTATCAGAGGTCCGTCGATATGTCGTAACGCAAAAGCAGTCACACGACCTTAGTGCCGGGCGTCTCTGTTTTTTCTCCGTGCCCCTGTTTAGACCTGCGGTTGAACACTTGACAATTAAAAAGGCTAGACCGGTCGATGACGAGCAGGATGTTGCTTCTTGGATTCGCAGAAGTGAAGAGATTACTTGAAGAGGTGTAAGGACGGACGTGGGATGGACCAGAGAAACGGTAGACTAGTGCTGGTGCGGCTGGTTCCTATAACCTCGGTGCCCGTGCACTACTCAGTGACTTCTCAATGCTCCAGTAGATGATAAGACCAGCCAGCTGGGGAATTAATAGTGCTTATGAGAGTTGTAGGCCAAGTGTGCATGTGAGTCCGCGGCTGTGTATTGCGCTCTAGGCGAAAATGGTGGGAATCATGATGCGAGTCTCGGCTGCCGCGTCGGGTAGGGAGGGGTAATCTTATCAGATAATATGGATGATGTGTGAGATCCGACGTCGGCGTCGGGACAGAGTCTGTTCGTCTGGATGTCTCGCTGCCATCCCTCCAGGATACTTTGAATACATCTGGTATATCAACGTACTGAAATAAGTAGTCTACGGATACGGATACATGTACGTGTATGTGTGATCGATTTCAGCTAACTATTGGATATGTGGTTACTATCCATTGGGATGGCGAGTCCTGTCACCACCCCTCGTACATATGACGGCACATCGCGGGCGATGATTTCAGGTAACAAACTCGCGCAAGCATGATTATCCAGTGGCTAGCGCGGCGCTTCTTGCGCAGACATGCCTTCGACCGCCGGACCCTTTCAGCCTGCACTCTCGCGAACACCATGTCTCCCCACACTTGGTGCAGCTTGGGAAGTTCGCCCCCGTCTTCCTGCACGCTGTGCAGATCGCCTGCACACGGAAGCGGGACGTGTTCTCGAGGTCTGCGAGCGTAAGACGGATTTCTGGAAGCAGGGAAGTGTGCGTGCGCGGAGTAGCCGGGGCCTCGGAGGATGAGGCGGTAGAAAGCGAGTCCGACGACGGAGTGCGACTCATGGACCGTGTGGAGGGGGCGGAGGACGTAACAACGTCGTAATTCGCTGTCACGGACTCTGTAATGCCGTTATGCGAAAGGGTGTTCGTATCATGTGCCTGGGCGGAGGCGCGGGGCGGAGGCTCGTCATCCGGGATGTCTCCCAGCAGGGACCGGAGGGACTCCTGTGCTGAAAAAAGTCGCGAGGGTGGCCTGAGAGCCTCGCAGTTCTGTGTGTTCAGCGCTGACAGTGGACCGCTTTTAGATCGAGAGGGATGGCCGCTCAATACGAGGGGAACGGCGATAGGTAGGCTTGGTACTCGATTCCGGGGTGGCGAAGAGGTGCTCGAAGGAGATGGTGTTGATCCCAACACTGGTCTTGGTCGCTCATGCGACGCGCTGGCGCCATGGTCCCGGTGGTCCAGCTGCGTCGACCATCAGACCTCAGGGTCGTCATCTGACAGTTATCCGCTCACCTGCCGTGTGCGACTGGCAGAACCTGAAACTCTGGCTTTTGCAGAGGCCGAAGCCTTTCGTTCATGTGAATGGTGCGTCGGGGAACCTGAAAAATGTCGGTCAAGAGCACAACGAAACACAAGGATGCTTGGTACCTTGGCGCGGAATGCAACAAAGGTGGCATGCTTCAGTGGTTGCGCCAATCTCTTTGAGAAAGTCCTCGAAATGATTACGGGTCATGGCAGGGATGGGCCATGTATGGGCGGCCCTCTATAACA